ACATTCTAATTTTTGGTAATGGAAGTTCCAACATTTTGCCTTAAGGCGCGATGCCATGCACCACTAATTATTAATATCGTAATCGAAAAACTTGCAGAAAAAATCTGAACGTTTGTATTATGGATGTTTTAATATTGTCTTAATTCTATTAAAAAACACTTGTTGAAATTTATTTGATTGCCGACAGCACTAAAATTTCTGCCAGCTTTATCCAAATCCCTTGTAAGATTCGCTGTGTCGGGGAGGGTCCCGTGCGCGTATATAATTATAATCCTGGGCTCAGCGCCGGAATGCTAACGTTGATCCTTTGGGGTATGACAAAAATAAATAGTAAGAAATAATAAGACTAATTTAAGGATAATCATACAAGATTTATCAATTGCTTTAATAGTTGGGAAAATTATACATATTGTAAGCTCCTCTTTCTATATGTGTTCATGATGACCTGAACTAAAACACTACTTTCAATGACTTTATCCAATACTTAACTCTTTAGGGACGGCTGTCCACCCGAGTGGACAACGTACTGTATTAGGGTATCTGTGAGGAACAGACTATTTTATAAATAATGACTCAGTTTGCATCGAAACATTGAATAGATTACATATGGCAGTGATAAACTTAGTTATTTTACAAGTATTTTTAGCTTTTTCTTTGCTATATAGACTTTTTTTAAATATGGCAAAACGACCGAGCGTTTTCAAATATGGCAAAACGACAGGTGAATTTTGTAAAGTAAGCAGTAGAAGAAAAAAACAGTCTTGTAAAACAGTGGGGAGGTGATTTTCGAAAATCTCATACACTTTCATCTACATTGTTCTCAGGCAATATACTGACTAATCATGTTATAAATGCGAGAGAAAGAAAAAAAGATTGTATTATCATATAGGGCAAATATATCTTCCAAGTGTAATCTTACAAATATCTACAACGTCTATTTTAGTCTATTGCCGTAGCAACTAGTTAGCTCGTTAAACTTAAAATATTTAAATATTTATTGTATTAATTATGTAATATAAGGATACTTATTCTTGACACATCACCTTCAGTAATTGTCAAAAATTTTAGCTTCATGTATGCTATGATAAATAAAATAAAAAATTAAGATATTATAATATAATTTCGACATATGATTTTAAAGAAAAGTATCCTTTCAGAGCATATCTGCAACAAATTTAAAATATAATCATAATTGAAAATAGACCTTTCAAGAAAAGACTACCATTGGATTATAATAGAATTTATAAAAATAACTTAAACAAAATAGCTTATTGAACAACTAACTAATTATTTTTGATTGCTGTTCAATAAAATTTAAAAAAATGAAAAAAAAGAATTTCGGAAACATCTATGATTTGCAGGTCAAGTGCATTCAATGGAGGACAGAAAGTGGTATTTTAGAGGCGATGAATAATTATAGTAACTAATAGGATGCGAGATAATTTATTGTACCTATTTACCAAAAAATAGATTAGAATTAATTTTATCCGCAAAATTTAACTACTTTTATCTAATTTCTCAACAAATGTGTGAATATTTTTGTATGTATACTTGCAAGTCTTTATTTTAGAAGCAAATATTACGCTGCTGTTAAATTAAATACTATAAAAAAATTACTTTAGTTACTTATTATGAATAAGCTTCACAAGACCTAAAATATATTGATTATTATTGATTGTGGTTTGGTTATAAATAAATAAATGCTATATAATGAAAACTTAGAAAACTTGAATTAAAATATATGCCTACCTTGTATATTGCTTCTTAAAAATGAAAGATTTTCATTTTAATATATTTTTTCCTCATTGCAGACAAGCCTATCGAACAAGGTGATCTCCAGTAAAACATAGACACATTTGAACACACCTGAAATATAAGAAATTTTTGATTAAATTCATCAAATTTTGTACACATAATTAATTAAAAATGAATAATCAAAGTTATTCAAATATAAGAATTTTTTGATTAAATTCATCAAATTTTGTACACATAATTAATAAAAAATGAATAATCAAAGTCTCGTTTTGGTTAAATATTTTTAATGAGTTTCGGTACGTGTTGGCTTGACGAATATATGAATGTTAATAGGATATTTTTATCTTTTATCAAATCTACTATAGCACGGCGAATATTAAAATTGATTGTTATATTTAGTGAATTTCTTTGGGCCTCTTGCCACAGCACTATGGAAGACGAACCCAATCCGCGAGGAACATCGACCGCCAATAAAATATAACTAAGAGATGCATACATATGCAAAGGAGATGAATCGTTTTGTGGCAAAAAATAACATAAATAAAACTGTGCCCGAATCTCTGTTACACGTCCGAAGTAATTAAAAATAATGTGAACAGTTTTACAATAAGCGAACTTGTAACGAAGAATGCCAAATTTATCTGTGTGTGATGCTTAACTGATTAACATTTTATGCCCTGCTATATATTTCAATTTGATAACATCTCTATAAACGAATGATTTTTAAGGAAATAATCTCCAATCTGTAACCGGATTTTCTATATTCGGTCGAATACGATTATTTTAGTGAATTTAACAGCACTTTATGAAAGCCATTAAACTTGTAATGTGCGTAATTTGAGAACTTTGAAAACGAACAAATCACATATTTTTTGTTAAAGCATATCAAAGAAAACGGCGAATAATTGGCAGTTCAAATTTTATTTAAACTCGAAAAAATTATATTAATTATAATTTTAAGAATATGAACACACAGACAGCAACAAGTTAAGTAAAACTCAGAAAACTCTCTGAAGGGACATGACAGTTTGTATGAATAATCCTTGTTTTTTAGGTAAAAAAAATAATAAAATTATATATATATATATATATATATATATATATATTATCTGTATTGATTAACCCATTCGAGAAGGCGATTTTTTTCGAACGCGGTCCCCAGGAGCAAAAGTTCTTTTTCTTCATTGTTTTTATTGTTCATTATTAATAAAAAATGCTTGTTTACTACGGAAATCACCCAATTCGTAAGCAAATTTGTATAAATAAGATGATTGCACGCCGTGCGTGCAACTCTCTCCTCAAAAAAATTTTATTGCAAAGAGCGGTTTGAATACCATATGTAAGGTAAAACATTTATTTTAAAAATGATTAGATGATATAAAATCGTTATGTTGCTTTCAATAATGAAAAACAGAGTATAATGCAAAGTAAATTTTCAAGAAATAGTAAAAAGTCAAAAAAAAAGGTAAATAATGAACAAAATAATATAAACAGGAAATAAATTATTTCTTACATTGTTCGTTTTGGCGGTATATATAGAAGGCGATACTATAGCTATTGGTGATAAATTTGCAAAATAGCATTGCATATCATGGTTTTTACAATGATATTTTCTAAAAATGTAAATTTCGAAATTCCAAACAAAATTGTTTGGTTCGCAATAAAACCAATGCCAAATTTTGTTTTTCTATGCTTTACAGATATTATTAATTTAAAAAAAAAATCATTTCGACGACTATTTTACTCAGAATAACTAATAATAGCTCATTATTATTATTGTACACACGGTGTGCAACCGGTCTTACTGCCTCGGAAGGCAATTGTACATACATTGCGCAATCGGTCTCGAATGGGTTAAACTCGTCAAAAAATCGATACTTACTTATCACACACAGTTATGAAAAAGCCAAGCACAAGAGTTAATTCCACTAACATGAAACTGATGTCCTGGTTTCCTCGAGACTTCGAACATGCGACGCTAGGACCCGGGTGCATTCGGCGCACCCGGGTCAGCACGCCTTTGTTCTTGTCCCTACCGAACGCAGAAACGAAGTGAATAAATTTGTTCGACCTTTGCCATAATAACAAAAAAATATAGACTCACAATGCTGCATTGTATAGATAAGAACTTCGGTTGGTAATCTAACCACATAGATAAAAGAAGAGTAATTGCCCTCTTTTGGTGAATTTGATTTTAATTTTTTTGAAAACTTTTTGGCAACAGGGTTGGCGGTATTTTGTACGCACATTCAAGCTTGTTAACTCTTCTTAAATAAATATTATGTAAAAATCATAAAATTATTAATAACTAGCTGTATTCTGCTCGCCTGGAAAAAATTTAGATAAATGTTTCGAGGTTTTTATCATTTTCACGTTAATTGCCATTTATTTTCAGTTTATTGAAAAAAATTCTGTATACAACATTTTTGGCCGCTCTCAAATAGATTTGACTTTTTTTTAATCAGTTCCAGCAATCTGCCTCAAATCATAATGCCATGTCCACTTGTGTTGAATGTTCAGTAATAAGCATCCATACATATGCATAAATATATAAATTATGTGGACCGTTGTACCTTCTGTTCTTAAATTAACTATATTGCAAATGTTGCAAGACCTCATAATCGGTGTAAAATTAAACAGCAAAAAATATACTTCACACATTATTCAATTCAATTGTAATTAATGTTTAATTACACTGAAAAGCATTTACATGGAATTATATCAAAATGTTATCTGAAAACTATTTTTTTTTTGTAACACAGTAAATCATTTTGAATAATCACTGACAAATATACTTCTCGGCATATGTTAAACAAATTGTATATTGGGAATTTCAAGCACATGTCTAAACTGTTGCCCTTCAACATTTTACCACTTTAAAACCGCTCTTCGGAATTATACTTTGAATTAACATTTTAACATGACTGACTATCCAGGAGAACATCTTTTTAATTTACTAAAACTACATGAAGGATAATTAACATATGATCTCAAACTGATTTCCAAAATATTTTGTCACATTCCTATAGTATTGGAGGTGCTAATTTTAATAAATGCTAATAAATCCACCTTTTCTACCAATTAAAGACACCCAAGGTATATAAAATCATGTGATCTTGATGCATATATTAAAACAAGAATTAAATATAAAAATGCATTTAATGTCATAAAATAATTACTAGCAAATTAATGAATATAACTAGTAATTGTAGAAATTAATCAACCTATGTTTAAAAAGAATAATACTATAAGTTTTGTACTACAGGCACATCACTTTCACCGACACTATTAGAATTGTTTTGTGAGTTTTTTTGCATTTCTTCCAGTTTCGTTAATATAGCATTGTACTTGTTTTCTAGATCTGCTGAGTGTGCTTTCCAGAAAGCCGCTTCTCGTTGAAATTGCCAAGCTATAATAGTATGGTAAGTATTATCCCAGGTTTGTGCACAACTTCGGGTGCTTTTTTCTGCACTTTTAAAATTTTCACTCAATTCTTCCGTTTGTTGGTTAGAAGATTTATAACGTTTATTATTTTTATTTCTACGATGTAATCCATTGCGCTTTCTTTTCCTGTTTTTGCGTTTATTTGATGAGTTAGATTTATTAGACACCAGATTATGTTTGCTTTCTAATGAACTGGGTTTCTTTTGGAAAATGATATTTGATTTGTCCTTATTCATAGTGAACTGATGAAATATAAGGAATATTAGTAAATCGTATTTGTAGTAACAATATCTATTGAAATGTGTATTTACATACCTTGCTTTTTTACAGAATATGTTAAAAATTTATTACTTCACTTATTTTGTCTCTTGACATTTAATTTGTGTACTAACAAATCTGACATTTTGTTGATGTGCCATCTGTAAGACACTCTTTGAAACACCGAGGGTACACTAAGCACGCACGCAAACTATATATGAATATAAAATGTATAGTAAAAATTGCTGGAACTTCCCGTACCGTAACGAAATGTTGGAGGAATATTAAACGTTTTCAAATAGATTATTATTAATACTGTAACATTGGCGAATATTTATAAGAATTATATAAACTGAATTGCTTAGAACTTTAGCCAGAATTAAAATCAAAATCTGAATTATTTAATTCTCAAAAAAAAAAAAAATTTGAAAAAAAATTTAAAACTAATTTTTTTTTCCAAAAGCATAATTTGGTTAAAACAATCAGAAAGTTCTTTGAATCATTCAAATCGGACGCTTAGTTCCCTCAAAAACTATCATTTTTTGCACATTTAGCTCTGTATCTTCGAAATCGCTGGACCTGTCTTTGCAAAAAACTAATCACCTCTACTCCCAATGATCACAAATTGAACGTTTTTTAGATCATTCAAATCGGAAACTCCGTTCTCTCAAAAACTCAATTTGTCACTCTTTACTCCGTAACGGCTGGACCTGCCTTTGCCAAAAACTAATCAGCAGATCTCCTTATCAATAGGAATCGAATGCGCCCGAAAACGTGGACGAAAAAATGCGGACATACAAAACACACACATCCATTTTTTCTGAGGTATGCCAAAATGTTCAGAAACCTTCAAAATGTGAAGATAAACAATCTTTTTTTTTTATTTTTGGCCCATTACTATAACTACCCTACGGGAAGTTAATAAGTATTCACAAAAAATATGATAAAGAAAATTAAACCTTTAAATAGAGAATCAATTCAAAGAAAGTGAAAATTCTGCAAATTAGAGAATCAATTCAGTAAACCCTCTGTGAAGTGCAAAATACATTAAAACAGAGTAAAGCATATAGTCTAGAAGGCAGCAAACTATTCAACTAACCTGTTTAAATCAAAGCTAGAAATTTTTAAATGATATTTTATTGTCGGTCCATTAAGAAAATACCATTCTGGCAGGCATTTCGTGGTTGCGTCATCTCTTTAATTTTCGAAAATGTCAAAAAAAAAAGAGTTTATAATCTGTTCCAAAATGGCTCAAATTTTGTGGGCGTATTCTTTTAACTGTTCAGAAAGTATATGTAAACAGCCGTTCTACTAATATCTGTTCTGTTTGTACATGGGGGTAAAGCCCCTTGTCTATGATGGTTCCATAAATATGCCACAAACACAGACAAAATAAGAAGTTATAATTATATAGAAACTTACAATTGGTAATTTTCTCTTGCTTAGTGGATTTTGAATATTCATGGTCATATAATTCATGCTTGATTCAAAATGTTTGAGCTAATTTCCAAAAACATTCTCGGTGATAATTTGTTAAATGCTGAAAGATAATTTAAAAAATGTTAATGCTGTGGACAGCTTTAACCGAAATAAATGGTAAGTTTATAACAAAAACAAAAACTTCACACAAAACTGGACATATGATAAAATAATCAGAATTGAATTCTAATTTTATGGCATTTCCTCACCAAGACAAGGTTATTGAACTATATGAACTATATGCTGTTCTCTTGCTGAAACATGTTTAGGAAAATTATTTGTATGATATTTTGAATTGCAATTAATTTTCATTAATAGGACATCTTGCAGACACCTGGAATATGACTGATTAACAAGTAAAACAAAGAAAGTTTTGTGAAGACAAATTTATTGAATATAATTTGAAATTTATTTGAATATAAGTTTGTATCTACTAATCTTTTAAATTAACATATTATGGAGCATTAGGTACAGATAGCTGGATTGAACAGGTAAAGCAAAACAAAAACTAATTTATCAGATATAATCTAACATATTAACTGCAAGAGAAAAGTCTTCACAATTTTTTTTTACATTTTTTTTACTGGTAAACAGAGTCAAAATATTTAGTAGTAAAATAAGTATTTGAAAATTATTTGAAAAATACCCAATCACAAATTTTGAAATAAAGTTGGAAACGTTTCGATTTTAACATAAGAGTCGAGACAAAAGGTATTTGAAATAAAAATTCGAAAGCCACATCTTATTGTGTTAAAGATTGTGAAATTTTCAAAAAAAAGAATCAGATGTGGACAACTTCTTCCAACAGTCTAATTAGGTGCGGCACTTTTTTAAAATTTTTATGCTTGATGTTAAAGCTTAAACATCTAATGTATCAATATTTTTTGTTGTAAAGCCGCTTTATATATTAACACATTAGGTATGAATCTCCGTGATTGCCCAGTGCATGGAATACATTTTTAAAAGAAATGTATTCCATGCATGGATAAAATTTCAGAATCTGCACCGTTAAATTATATGCACAATACTTGAAATTTAGGTAATGAAAATTGTCGTTTGAAAATTGAGTTAATGTACAGATTCCGCAGTTTCAAATACAAAAAAAAATAATTATCTTCTAGTAATAAATAATAAAATGAACTAAAAAAAAAGAATATTGCAAAAATGTTTCAACAAAATGTCTTTAAATTTTAACATGTTCATAACATATATGAACAAAATTCTTAAGATATTAATTTCGATTTTGACACCCCATATACAACTATTGAATTTGTATGCAGCCGGAGATTCAATATTACAGGTTGGTTGGTCGCAACATGCATACAGCATACAAATTATATAGTAGTTTTTAATGGAAGTGAACACTAAATAGAAATTAAAGTTTTTCTCTCAATTTTTATAAAAATAAATTTATAAAATTCCGCTTTATATGAATTGCTTGTTTGAATTACAATTAGTTTTAATTTTGTAGTACGTATTTCACAAAAATCTTGCGAAACTTTTCACACATAAATCATAAAAAATTGTATAGATATAAAATATTTAACAAAAATGTATTTTTTCATTCAAGTTCCTATTTTCAAAATAGGAATATCAACATAATAGACTCATCCTTAGCTTATAATGTTAATTTCTGTAACATTCATATATGATTATGGGGTATATTATACATCTTTTATGATTTATGTATTAAGCATACGTTCGTTCACGGATTCTTAGAGCTAATTTATATACACAGAGTCCGATAAAACAATATCCGAAACACCAATCACAAATGTGATTCACTAAATATTAGTTATGTTTAAGATTTGATTTTATCATGTGTAAAGTATAGATACCTCTCACTTGATGTTTGTGTGTGCACTTCACCCACAAAACTTGTTTGTAAATTGTTTCTTAAACTATATGTACACTTAACATTTACTGGCTCACATTTTCTTCAATCGGTACATCTCCTTCCAATTTGGCAACATAGAGAGATGGGTCAATCACTTTTGGAATCGGCTTAATCTCAGTGCCCAATTCAGATTCAATGCGATGCAAGGCAAATCGGTCCTCATATGTAATGAGGTTTATTGCAATACCTAAAAATATAATTCATGAATCAATCTCATGAAAATATTTAAAACAAAAAAAAATTGCAATGTAGATGACTACATTAGCAAAGCAAAACAAAATTCTAATTCTAAAGAAAACTGATTAAGATGTATTTGAACTTTATTCAGAATATTGTATTGAGGATTCAAAATTTAGACAGCATATTGCCAAATAGTGGATAAATAAACTAAGACTTGATTCTATAATTGATGTGAATCAATCCATACCTAAGTGTCCAAATCTGCCAGATCTACCAATTCTGTGCAAGTATGTTTCAGCCATTTTTGGAAAATCAAAATTTATCACAACATTCACGGCTTGTACATCAATACCACGTGTGAAAAGATCTGAACAAACCAGGTTACGGCATAAGCCAGAACGAAAGTCATGGAACACTCGGTTACGATGAGCCTGAGCCATTTTAGCATGTATGTAGTAACAGCAATAACCTAATTCTGTAATCTTTTTTGCCAGCAACTCTACACGTTGAGTTGAATTACAGAATATAATTGATTGATTTATTTGTAATTTTGAAAACAGCGTGTTCAAGCAATGAACCTTTTGTCTTTCTTGTACAAAAGCATAATATTGGGTTACACCCTTTAATGTAAGTTCTTCCATAAGATTGATCTCATATGGTTCTTTAAGATGCTTTTCCATAAATTGTTTCACACTTAGTGGAAAAGTTGCTGAGAAAAGCAAAATTTGCCGTTCACGGGGCAACCTATAATGAATGAAGTATATTAAAAACTTGATGGCATTGCATTAGAACTTCAAAATTTATACAAGAAATTGGATTGAAAAATTGAATTTTAAAAATGTAATAGTTAATGAATTTACAGTTCATAAAAATATCCTGCCACTCACCTGGATATAACATGGTCAAGCATTCCTTTAAAATCTTGTGAAAGAAGTTTATCAGCTTCATCCAGCACAAGCATTCTACAATGTTCAGTATTTGCAACTTGTTTGTCCATTAAATCCAGTATACGTCCAGGAGTAGCGATTATAACTTGAACTATATTAAAAAGTTCACCATTAGTAAATTTGAAAAGTTAAATATTGAAAGTAAAAAATTCATTACCTTTCTGGTAAATTCTCATGATATCATCCCTAAGATTTGTTCCTCCAGTAGTCACCATGACACGTATTTCCATATGTTTAGCGAGTTCTATACATATCTGTGAAGTCTGTAATGCTAATTCTCTAGTCGGTACAATTACTAGAGCTTGTATACAATCTTTTTTAGGATCAACTTGCTCCAACACGGGAATGCAGTAAGCACCAGTTTTACCCGTACCATTCTTTGCTCGAGCTAATATGTCTTTACCAGATAAAGCAATGGGAATAGAAGCTTCTTGTATAGGAGATGGCTTTTCCCATCCCTTCTCGAAGATACCCATTAAAAGTTCACGTTTTAAACAAAACTCTTCAAATTCATTTCCTCTCGTGTCAGTAACATCCTGAAATTAGGCAGAATTAAGAATGGAACAAAAATAAATGAGTAAGTAATTATTGAAAATTATTATCAGAACTTGATTATCATTTATATTTAAATGAAGGGGAATCCAAAATATCATCATAATCTAAAAAAAAGATAACATGGATCTGAATATTTACACTTGTTTTAATTCTCCTGTCCTTTGGGGGTATTTTAAGTTTGGATTTCCAACCTAAGTCATCCATTTTTTCTAAATCCCTATAAGAAATACCATACATTAGTCACATGTAAGATTTAACATTAATTTATGGCACACCAATATTTTATTCATTACAAGTATGAAACCACATTCATGAATATCAGAGCACCACACACAATCTTTTCACATGATTCATCATAGAGATATAAGTATCAACTTACCCTTTATTATTTTGGCTAAGATTGTTCATATGAATTGAACTTAAGTGAGTTTCAGCAATCATATTTTAAAGATTTATAGACTAGCTAATTCTCAGATTCCCTGAGCACTACACTTTTCCCAATATTCTCAAAGTTTAGGTATACTTTTACCTACACTAACGTCATAAATAGTCACTTTGTATTCACTAAATACACGTTTATTTTGTAAGTTCAGTGTAATTTTAATATTCACTGTTTACATTCATCTGAAAAAAAGAACGGTAAGCAATTAGATTACACATCCACGTTTACAGTTACTTTAACATCATTAAAAGAAAAACTGACATTTCTGAACACCAAGTACAACAAACGTCGATAATAGAATTTGCACAAAAACTGACAACGTAATTAAAATTAAATCAGCACGTGGTGATAAGATCTTCCAACAATCTATTAATAATGAAACGAAGATAAAATAAGATATAAACAAGAATCTGCGTAAAAACATTTATAAAGATGGCTGTATGCTTAGAATGTAGTGCAGTAAGACACAATACATTGTGCAAGTTACTTAAAAGCACCTCCCGTATCTTTTAGAAAAATGTGGATGAAACTAGACCGTAACAAGATGGGAATGATTTGACAAAGATTATTATTGTAATCATACCTGATTGTAATTAATCCACGTTCTCTCACGATGCCAACGACAAAAGTAATACTCCTCGATTCTGCGTAATGGCCGACAAGCCGCAAATAATCACTTGGACGAGATGCCTGGTAGCGCCATCGTTCGAAGCGACAAACTCGCGAAATGAAAACCGCCAAATTTGAAATAAAAGTATTTAAAAATTTATATAATACAAAAATAAAATTAATCCATCTGATAACCATTGCTTGAAATAGTCCATATACAGATTGAACACAGTTAATAATGATATTAGTTAATACTAAATATGATTGTAATTATCGATTCTTAATTATTAAATGCTAGATATTTCCAATGGTAAAACACTTATTTCTTAAATTAGACATTTAAAATTTTGAATAATGCGACGGCCAAGATTTCTAGCAGAACAAACCCGTTTTTTTCAATAATTAAATTAATTATTTATTAAGATGTAAGTAAAATGCAAATAAATCGTAACTTATTTCTCATCTTTCCAAATAAATACGTTGATTCTTATCAGAATGTAGTTAGAAATATTTGCATCGCTTTTGGGCTGTAAATATGTTATATAAAATTATTCAAAATATTTTTAAAATTTAGGTAGTATAATTATACTATACAACAAAAAATTAACGTAATATTTTAAAATTATATTTCATTATTCTATTTAACGTCATACATCTAATTGCAGAATCTTACAAGAATCTTTCTATATTTTATAAAGAATTGCACAGCATTTTCTATGTTTATAGCTTATAACTAAAATAAACCAACTTATCATCAAACTTTGTATTTTTTTTCACAGAATTGTTATTTTGTTTAAAATTACTTCATATACTTTTCTAGGTAGTAAAAATATATAAATAAAATGAATTTAACAGACAACTTAAATATAAATTGCAATAATCTAAGATAACTTAATCTATATCTCACAGCATCCAACTCCAAACGTTCATAAAAAAATCCTAAACACAAAATCAAGCTATATGAGGTCATGTCTCGCTTTTTACTTTCGTCTAAGTACTTTTGCTATATAATTTAAAATCTTATTAGAAAATTCAGTTGTCAATCTAAATCTCAATGCCGAAAACGCAATTATTTTGAAAAATACTGCAAATGAAGCTAGTCCTATGACTTGAACATAGAAAACACTTTGCTCCATTCCAAGGTCTCTTAAAAACAATTTTGGGTTTCGATAATGGCAATAATCAGCGTTGTTTGAACAAGATAATATAGGTCTGTCATTGTAAACATTTGTTGTTAGTCCGACGATGGCAAATCTTAAGAATGACATGTTCATTATCGTGGTCATCAGGGGGCCCACTGCTTGTCCGTAGCCCATGCCGTAGACGCACAGGGCTAGCAAAGGTGCTACGGTCGATGGTGCAACTATGGAGCCATTCTAGAAATAGACAAGAATAATATAATTATTTTACATATGAACATATTAAATACACCGATAACTCCATTTTTAGAAATGCTCGTTAAGATCGTAGATAGATTGCAATGTTACGAAAGAACCACTTCTTAAATAGAACATTAATCAAAGTGAGTACCTATTAAAACACTTTAAAAATCTTTCCGCTGACAGTATTGTTTTTTCATATCTTCACAGATTCGTAAATCAAACAAATTACTTTTAAGCATCTGTTTATTGAATGATCATTGTCACCATCTTAATAACCAAGATGCAATTTTAGTTGCAATAGTATAATTTCTTCGAGTAAGAATATTCTTACTTGTCAGACGTTTGCAATACCTCAAATTTCATAAAAATAAAAAATTAAAATAAAAATAATAATGGCAAGTATCCAGAATAATGCTCCTCAAAATCTTTGCAAAGTGATAAATATTATTGATCGAGCAACCCAATATTGAAAAAATAAACGTCGTATTTTTATTTTATTTTTAATTTAATTAACGTCGTAGATACTTTACCGTTATTTTGAATATTGATCCAACGGTCAAACCAATGCTTTCGGAGCAAATGCTAATCAGGAGACAAAACGCAAAGAACCAGCCAAATCTACTAACTTCTATCGGTTGGTTTGTCATGAAATAAGTTATAGCTGCAAATAGAGCAGTCATTGGTATCTGCAGAAAAAAAACAAATGAATTATTTGTTATATAGCATTATATTTAACATATATAATAAATTCTAATTACCAAGGTTGGTAAAGTGGCAACAGATAGAGATGCATAAAAGGATTTCAAACCGTACCAACGATTGAAATATTCACGTTTGAGCAATTTTATTTCCATTGGAACTGAAAACCAATTATTTTATTTAATACCATTATGTATTAAATTCTGCAATTGAAATATTTATTACTTACATAATAAAACTGGTACCATAATGTATGTGTAAAGATAAAATACCATAACACATATATAAAATTTGAAATTAACAAATATCATATTAGCATCTTGGCCGATATCGAAAAATATTCCACCGATTAGAACGGCCGATATAATATGATGGATTAGTTGGATCCACAGCGACGTCTGCAAAATTAATTAAAAATGAAGTCAACAAAACAAATAAAATAATTTATATAATAATATTAATTTTATACTCACAGTATTTCTAGAGATCTGTATCAATCGTCTCTTGAGAAGAACTCTAAATTGGGTATTAAATGTCGAATAAAAATCTATTTCAAAGTTTTCTGTTTTATTTGATCTTGAAATCATGTCTGAAACTTCAATGGAATTATCATTATGTTCAATTTCTGATTGTTTTCCGTTTGCAATAGCTCGAGACATAGTTTTGATGTTTTCCTTGTCCAAATGAAGAACTTCGATTACTGTAATAATTAAAATGCACGATTAATCAAATTTTAAAAACCTTGTAAAATTCATTAAAATTAAAACTTGAAATAAATTTGAAACCAACTTTTAAAACAAAATTATTTTATTAGAGTTTTTATAAAATATCATATATGTTTATATAAAAGAAGAATATCTATAAATCCTAGTCCCATTAATTAACAAAAACCCTAAATCAAAGTGGCCTTTAGATAAGTTGCACGAATTTATAGATATGTGTAAATAATCGACTTAATCAATAAAAATTGACATTTTATAAAAATTTATAAAAAGGTTGATTTAAACCATAATGATTATAATTGTAAAACAATTTATTACGAAAAAATTTTTATTTGGTTTTTATTAACTTCCCGTAGGGTAAGTTATTGTAATGGGCCGAAAATCGAAATTGAAAATTTTTACATTTCTCGACGTTTTGAAGGTTTCTGAACATTTTGGCATACCTCAGAAAAAAATTAATGTGTGTGTATGTATGCATGTATGGATACAATTTTTTGTCCACGTTTTCGTGCGCACGGATCAACCGATTTGAATCGAGTTTTTGAGTGAACGGAGCATCCGATTTGAATGATCTAAAAAACATTCAATTAGTAATGATTGGGAAAAGTGATTATTTATTTTTGGCAATGGCAGGCCCAGCCATTTCGAAGATACAGAGCTAAATGTGCAAAAAATGGCAGTTTTTGAAAGAACTAAGCGTCCAATTTAAATGATTCAAAGAACTTTCAGCTTGTTTTAACAAAATAATTGATTTTGGAAAAAAAATTGTATCATTTTTTTTTTTTAGTTTTTTTTTGTATATCGAAAACATTTCAGATTTTATTTTTAATTCTGACTAAAGTTCTAATATACTTTAAACAAATAGTTTTAACTTTGCAATTCAGTTTATATAATTCTTATAAATATTAGACAATGTTACAATATTTATAATAATCTATTTGAAAACATTCAGTATTCCTCGAACATTTCGTTACGGTACGGGAAGTTCCAGCAATTTGCCTTAAGGCACGATGACATACACCCCACTAGTTTATCATCATATTGGCTATTAAACAGGCAGTTACAAAATTACCAATATTCAATTTGCATTGTAGAAATGCCATAGAGTAAAATAATTGAAAATGATAGTATGAATTTCATGAATAATCTATCTTTTCTAATTTACCGAAATCTGCAGGATTGTGAGTGATAGGACATTGGAGGTTAACATTGCTCATAAAGGGCACCAATCTTGAGGGAGATCCTTGATACACACAGTAACCGTCTGCTACCACATATAGACGGTTGAAAAAGCTCAAAAGGGAAGCGGTGGGCTGATGTATGGTGCAAATAATTGTCCGGCCCTGGCCAGCCAGCATGCGCAGTAGGTTCACCATATTTTTGATGGCTACTATGTCTAAACCACTATAAAGGATACAAGAATTTATCAAAATTATTCAGAGTTTCATTATTTGGTAATTATTTGAGATTAGAGAATTAATTATTGCAAATAGTTTGAAATATGCATTCTGACGATAAATATTAAACAAATGAGGTTGTCCCATAAATGATAGCAACTAAGCAAATATGATCGTAATCATAACATATTTTAACTTAGAAGAGTATAAAAATTCAGTTAATTAAATACTATACATATAAATTTTCTCTGACACATTTTTGGGGTACCTAATTTAAGTATATATTATATTTTTTTTAATTTTGGATATCTAATTTCAGCATATAATTAACTTATGGATTTTTTTTAACAAATTTTTAGAGTATCTTCTCGTTTAGTTTATTTTTTTTTTCGAAACGAATATTTAAATATCTGATTTCATTCATTCATGGATTGATGGATATTTTTGTAACGCATTTCTGGTGTACCTTATTAACTTCCCGAAGGAGAAGTTTATGTTTTCATCAAAAAATTCGATTCGCTAATATTATGTTTTCTCGACGTTTCAAGCCATTCTGAATCGAATGAGACCAAATTTGGAAAAAGTATGTGTGAGCAGATTTTTTGCCGTAAATTGATGTTTGACAAAAGCGCCTGAACCGATTTCAAAAATTTAAAAGCCAATCAATGTATTTTGATATGAATTATCTTTTCTTTGTAATTTGAAAAAAAGTGTTAAACTTTTCGCCCACATTTAAACTCATACTACAAAAACTGTTCGAAAGATATTAGTTGGGAGTGATACTGATTAGTTTTAGGTGAAAATCTACCGAGCCGTTTTCTTGTAATTAACTGTTGAAAAATAAATTTAGGCCGAATTTTGTGGAACTTTTTTTGGCGATATATATCATAGTATTATAGAACTTACTGAAATATTACGGCCTTACAACAAGTAGTTTGATTTTTAAAATTCATCAAAGTTTGAGAAAATAAGTAGTTTTTTTGACGTTTGTTAAAATTAAAATTAGACAATTTACTTGATAAAACGATAGAGTACTTGGTCATAATGAACATACTAAACCATTCAAGTCCTACGGAAACTGGTTCAACTATAAAAATTATTGATTTGTGAAAATTTCCGTCTAGAAAATGCTCTGAGTTAACGTGTTCGTTCCTTTTCAATTATGTCTAATAAATGCACACGGAAAATTTATAATCACTTTTAAATTAATTTATTTTTTATTGATTAAGTCGATTATCTACACATATCGGGAAGTTCATGAAACTTGCCTCAAGGCAAAATACCAATACCATTTAATTTTAGTATATAAATTCCTCAAAATAAACTTTATTCAAACTCAAATCAAACTTTATTTTATTGAAAATATATGAATGACAAAGGTAGAGAGTTTATTATAATAAAATATAACAGGTATATATAAGTAAATATTATAATTATATAAAATAATTAATTTTGTCACTAAAACTTGGTAAAAAAACTAACTTGGTTAGTGCAAGAAAAAATTACGGATTATAATAATCAAGCTATAAAATCTTTTATTAGATTTTTTTAAAGAAATTAACAGTAACAAAATGTAATTATAGTTGTTTGCATTGAAGGCGATTTTAAAATATATATGACAAGTATTTAGTTTTAATTAATTAATTTGTAATGGAAATGAAATTGACAACAAATTAAACTATCAATAAGAGGTCTATGCATTTTAATTTAATTAATTTGTTAATAAAATAAAGCAAGGATGTCCTTTCGAATTGTTGCATTCCCACATCCGCAAATTCAAGGTGAATGCATATATATTAGAATTAATATAAGATGAATATTAATTCAGAAATAAAAACAAAGTATATTTCCACATCCAAAATCAATAAGTTTTTATTCGATGTTTTTATGAATGTCAAAATATGATATCACCTCTTGATACCACATCCTATTCCTTAATTAATTATGCAACAAATAAAAATTACTGAATGGAGCATGGTTTTTCAGTAATTCCATCTTTTATATGTATTAGAATTATTGGTTTCAAATGCAATAATTAACATTATCCAATTATGCAATAAAGTAATTATGCCTTATTACGCGTTGTTCGTGGATAAAAAACAAAATTAAATGGCATGTTAATTGGATTTGTAAATAAAACCGGTAAAATAGCAAATCTCGTAATAAAGTTGTCAAAGAATTAACGTAAGTGTGTAATTTTATATAAATGAGACAAAAGACAATTAGAATATTGCGTTAGAGATGCCTCGTAAATTTCCATGGAAAATAGTGCTTTACGTTAATTACCGTAAAGTAGACTATTTCAATTGTTCTTTATGTGCAAAAGTAACGTCACAAATAAATAATTATGAATGACTATGAGCTAAATAAATAATTGAAAATTTAAACAAACTACATTTTAGCATAAATAAATATATTATATTGCTTTAAATATGTAAAAAAGCTTATATCATCCTCTTATTCTTCAATAGATTTTCTCGTTAAAAAAAATTCACCTACTTGGTATTGGTATTTTGCTTTGAGGCAAGTTACATGAACTTATATATATATATAAATAAATATATATATATATATATATATAAGTATGTATGTAAATAATCGACTTAATCAATACAAAATAAATTAATGTAAGAGTGATTAAAAGTATTCGGAGTGGATTTATTACACATAATTGAAAACGAACGAACACGTTAACTTAAAGTATATTCTAAAAGCTAATTTTCAAAAATCAATATTTTTCATATTTGAACCAGTTTCCGTAGAACTTTAATGGTTGAGTATATTCATTAAGAGTACTCTATCGTTATACCAAGTAAATTGTGTGATTTTAATTTTAACAAACGTCAGAAAAACTACTCATTTTCTCAAACCCGATGATTTTTTAAAATTAAACTACTTGTTTAGGGCCGTAATATTTCAGTAAGTTCTAGAAGACCATGATATATATCACCAAAAAAAGTGCCATAAAATCTGCTTAATTTTTTTTTCAACAACGAATTACAAACAAACGGCTCGGTAGATTTTCACCTAAAACTAATCAGTATCAATCCCAACTGATATCTTTCGAACAGTTTTTGATTTTTTAAAATCGATTCGGTAGTATGAGCTTAAATGTGGATGAAAAGTTTAACACTTTTTTTTCAAATTACAAAAAAACGGCTTGGCTGATCGTCGCACAAAATTGACAAACAATAATCCTGATTGAGATACATCAAATGGCTTTTAAATTTCTGAAATCGGTTCAAGCGTTTTTGAGCAAACGTCGATGAAAGGTCAAATTTTGACAAATGGCAAAACACGATACTAATTTTTACAAACTTTGAAGAATGTTTAAAATGAAACGACTTGTCGTAGGGCCGTAATATTTTAGTATGATCTATAAGACTATGACTACTAAAAAAAAACATAAAAATCGTCGAAAAAAATTTTTTAATACTTTATTACAAGAAAACGGCCAGGCCGATCTTTAGCAAAAACTATTCAGCACGATTTTAAACCAATATCTTTCGAACACTTTGAATTTTCAAAATCGATTCAGAATTGCGAGCTAAAACGTAGACGAAAAATTTTTCACATTTCTGCGATTTACAAAGAAACGGCTTGGCTGATCGTCGAGCAAATTTAAACGCTAGTCCTCATCGAGATACATCGAATGGCTTTTAAATTTTTGAAATCGGTCCAGCCGTTTTTGAGAAAACGTCGATTTACGGCAAACAATTTGTTCACACACACACACACATACGTTTTTCAAATTTGGTCTTATTCGATTCAGAATGACTTGAAACGTCGAGAAAACAAGAAATTAGCGAATCGGATTTTTTGATGAAAACATAAACTTCTCCTTCGGGATGTTAATAAATAAAATAATCTACGTTCGTTTCTACTTACGTCGTTGGTTCGTCTAAGAATATAACAGGCGGGTTGCTGACCAACTCTAAGGCCACGGACAATCTTTTCCTCTGCCCGCCCGATAAATTTTCAGACCTGGTGTTCATGCAAGATTTCAAGCCCAAGGACGATGTCACCTCGTGCACCTGTCGCGAACAAGATAATATGATATTAAGACAAAAGGACATATAAAAAGATATAAATAAACAAATAAAGATATACGATATTTGCACTTGTGCTGTGTTCAGTAAATTTTATTCATTATTTTGGAAAAACTGTCCTGAAAATGTAATATATATATAAACAATTTAAAAACTGTAATTTTGAGATATCCCTACAATTTAAAAATTCATATTCAATCACTATTTATAATTTTAGATATTCATTCTATTTACAATTTAAACATCAGCTAAGTTAATTTAAACTAGTTGGTATTGGTATTTAGCCTTGAGGCAAGTTACATGAACTTCCTGATATGTGTAAATAATCAACTTAAACAATAAAAAATAAATTAATTTATGAGTGGATTTATTACACATAATTGAAAACGAACGAACACGTTAATTCGGAGTATTTTCAAAAAGCAACTTTTCAAAAATCAACAATTATTATATTTGAACCAGTTTCCGTAGGATTTTAATTCAGGTTTAGTATGTTTATTAAGACCAAGTACTATATTGTTATACCAAGTAAATTGTCTAATTTTAATTTTAGCTAACGTCAAAAAAACTACTCATTTTCTCAAACTTTGATGAATTTTTAAAATTAAACTACTTGTCGTAAGGCTAAGTAAGTTCTATACGACCATGATATATATCGCTAAAAAATTCCATAAAAATTGGCTTAATTTTTTTTTTCAACAGTTAATTACAAGAAAACGGCTCGGTAGATTTTCACCTAAAACTAATCAGTACCATTCCCAACTAATATCTTTCGAACAGTTTTTAAAATCGGTTCGGTAGGATGAGCTTAAATGTGAACGAAAAGTTTAACACTTTTTTTCAAATTACAAAGAAACGGCTTGGCAGATCGCAGCACAAAACTGACAAACGATAGTCCTCATCGAAATATATCAAATGGCTTTTAAATTTCTGAAATCAGTTCAGGCGCTTTTGAGAAAACGTCGATGAAAGGTCTAATTTAGACAAATGCCAAAAAACGGTTTTTGAATTTTCATAATCGGTTCAGATTTGCGGGCTAAAACGTGGATGAAAAAAATTTCACTTTTCTGCTATTTATAAAGAAACGTCTTGGCCGATCGAAACTGACAAATGATAGTCCTCGTCGAGATACATCGAATGGTTTTTAAATTTTTTAAATCGGCCCAGCAGTTTTCGAGAAAACGTCGATTTACGGCAATAAATCTGTTCACATACAAACACACACACACACACACACACATACTTTTTCCAAATTTGGTCTCATTCGATTCGGGATGGCTTGAAACGTCGAGAAAACATAAAATTAGCGAATCGGATTTTTTGATGAAAACATAAACTTCTCCTTCGGGAAGTTAATTAATCAGGTAATTTTCTTAGTTAATCCGAAATTATACTACAAATTTTATTATTGGTGATTTTCAGAAAGTAAAAATGTATTATTGTTCCTATAAATATGTAACTATAAATATATAATAAACTATAAATTGATTTTTGGCTATAAATTTTAATATCATTACTTTTGAAATTTTGATGAAGTATATTGTTTGTATATGTATATATTAATGTTTATATATATATATATATATATATATATATATATATATATATATATATATATATATATGTGTGTGTGTGTGTGTATATATATATACTTGTTCCTCTTCCTCTATTTTAAATTATAGATTTACGAAGGCCAAATATTTTCCTAAAACGTTATGTAAATGTATAAAAAGCTCAATTGTTTATTCGAAGACTTTGGAAATTTCCTTTCATCCAATATTCAGACACGTTTTGCATTTTTTCAATGTTTTCAATAGCCAAAATAGTTCATCAATCACCGAACAAAAAATATTGCTATTTAATTTAAATGAATTAAGTTAGATGCTGTCATAATGAGATTTTGACTAGTGATAAATATTTATTTTTATGATTCATAATCTTTCCGGCCACGCGTATTTTGTTCAGAAACAGGTCTCCGAAATCATTGTTTAATTTGCAAACAGGTTGGAAATGTGCATATGAGCAAACCAAACCCAAATAAAGAATTTCAGTTATGAGAATTTAGAATCAACACACCATCTTTGACAAATATAAACAACATAAAAAACTACTTATATTATACGACCAATTAAATTTAGTCTATGCGGTTCTATATATTTGAATGATAGTAGTTTTATAAATATAAAACTATTCAAAAGAATGATATAGTTTCATGTATTTCTATTAGCATTTTAACGATTTTGTCCGATAATACTAACCAAAGTTCACTTGGAATGTCAAGAGCGTATTAAAAAAAAACGAACTTGATATCAATACAAAAAGAATTTCGTAAATTTGTTTTTGTGTGAATAGCACCTAAAATTGTGCAAAACTATTGCTGAATTCACATTGAAGTTTGGGTGAAAAAGATCAATGAAAAGAACTTTCCAATCGCCTTGCAATAATTGATTCAGAAATTTGATAATTTAATTATATAAAATACTATTATTGAATATTCCAATTATATACAACACTTAAATCAGATTAAATAGATCAATTATTTAAGACATTTTTATTTAAGATCAGGTTTATGAAAATATTGATGAGGAGTGAATTTTTAATAAAGAAACTTAAACATATTAGTTCTTTAAAAATATAAAAAAAAGTTTTTGAACACATTGGAACATTTGTATTAGATTGTAAGGCAGTGAATGATATGGAATTCTTATATATTATAAGATTATTTATATTTTTATTAAAAAGTCTATTATTTTTTCAATCTTCTTAGTGACTACTACATATAAGAGCCTTGGCTTTAAAAGCACGAAGTTCCAGTTCAAATCCTGTCTCGGATATAGATCTAATTATAAATGTGAAAATAGCTTTTCGGGGCTACAAAATATCAATAATATGATTACAAATAAGAAAATAAAATATACTTCAATTCGAAAGAAAAGTTATTGTTAGTTGCTATAGTTCTGATCGCTGACCTAGATTTAATTAATTTTCCAATACTAAAATTTTACTACATTTTTCTTATGAGATATGATTGATTTGCCAACAGACACACAATAATATTTCAAAATCGTGTTAGTATCAAATTACTTTTTAAGAATTGCCCATTGCGGTTTTTGCGTCGGGTAACATTTCTGACAAATGTCGAACCGGCGAAGAATTCGGAATTTCTCAAGAGACTCACCACAGCCGCTTTGTCTTTTTCATCCACTGAATGTCCAAGTTTCAGTTCGACTGCTATTTCCATAGATTCTCGAACTGTGAGTCGTGGCTGTAACAGATCGTCCTGCATTATGTAACTGGACATTTTCCGGAAACGTTTCATTTCCCTTGCGACTCCGTTTGTTCGGATGCATCCTGTTGATCCTGATGTACTAGGAAAAGAAATGAGGATCATTAGAAATTTATCTGTATATTTTAGAAGAAAATGTAAATAATAATATAAATAAGTTGCAGATAATGCACCAGATTAAAAAAAAAAGAATATAATATATAGTTTATTATAGAATTCCATACAATTTTTCATGTTTTGAGTTTGAGTCACATACTCCAGCTTAAAAAATTTGAAATTTTTAATCGTTTTAATCTTATAAGTCACTGACAAGGTTATTCTATTTTGAGTCGATTTCCTTAATTTAGATAATTTGAATTTTTATCAACAAAAATGCAGAAAAGAGTGATCTATTAATTTCCTTCGAGGATATCTACTATTAAATAAAATTTAGAAGTATTATTAGTGAACAATAAGCATTTCTTTCTAAATAATTTCGAATTTTTGTCAAGAAAATTGACGCAAAAACGAATAATTTGCATTGATTTTGCCTTAAAAAAAAATATTAGGAAATTTGAATTTTAATTTCCTTTAAAAATATTTAATTTTAAAATATATATTTTAAAAAGTCAGTAAACAAGGACCACTACTTTCTGTATACATTTCTTTGATTTAGAATTTAGATGATTTGATTCCCTATCTATCAAAGAAATCGATTCAGAAATAAATGAGAATTTTTTTTTAAGTTTTCAAATTTTATTTTCTTCTACGGAAATCATTCATTTTCCTGTTATATTGAGTATTTACTGGGAGCATGTAGTTCGAAGTCAATACATAAAAATTGAATAGGTCGTTCAAGAACAAAGATCAATTGAAAGTCTTTAAAATAATTTATTGAAATTATCAGAAATCACATTCCAATAAAAACCTTGTATCTTATATATTCATCTCATTTTTATATCCATCTATAAAGATAAACATAAACTCTTTTACAACGCAGACAATATCTATTTTGCTTTTAAGTATACATCCTGAATCATTATTTATTATTACCTATTATTTCTGGTTAAAACGAAGTTCATTGCCAATAATGTTCAAATAAGCTATAAAATTGAAAAAAATGATGTCTAACAAGTTCGTGATTTACGATGTGATCAAATCTTTTTATGTTCTAAAACGAGTTCCAAATCTGTGTACCTTATATATAAATGCAAATATATAAAATTGTTGATAATTTGTAAACAAGTTTATGTCGACTGCAAAACAATAAAATAATCAAAATAAATGCGTGTGGTAAATGCAGATCAAAATGTCAAATTTTGTTTAATTAAATATGGAACACTTAATTTTTTATTACATTTGAATTTTTTATTATTTCAAACTGTTAATTAATTATTTACAGTAGCTGGATATTTAAATTAAATATTTATGACCATTTCGTACCTCATAATTTAAGGTTATGACTTTTATTTCTATAGTATGCAACATTAACTTAGTTTTATTAGTTTAAGATGCTAATTTCTTCATAAATTCTCTATTTATATTTATTGCAGAATAATAAAATAATTGGACCGTTGAATTTTATTGCAATCTACATGGATTGTTAAATTTTATCTTGATTTTAAAATCCTATCTAAAATTTGGAGTTAATTTTTCTATTTATTGCGATATGAAATTTTAAATATATAATTTAAAAATAATAGTGTAATTTTTGCAAAAATGTACTTATGAAATTTTTATTTCGCATTGGTAAATATCGTTAAAACTCTTCAAAATTAAAGATAAAGCATTGAATCTGTTTACCATCTGGTTTACCCTTTCAACCTAGCCTATGAGGTAAAAAGGGACAAATAACAAATTTTAAAAAAATAGCTAATAAACTTATTTCTATACTAAGTAATTAATTGGGAATTTCACTGATTACTACTTTACTACATCTTTCTGCTTTTACTTGTTAGTTTTTCTCCCCTGGACAAAATAAATTTAGCTTATTTCCAACAAACAATAACAAATCAAATATGCAATTTCCGATTCATTTGACGTACAATAATGATTGTAAATCGAATTATTAATTGAATTGAAAAAATAAATTAACCGCGGGCGGTATCATGAATATTCATGATCGCTTGAAGAATACTTATTTATTCCACACAAAGTTCAATCGTTATATTCGGATAGTGTTTTAAAAAAAAATCAGGTCAAATGTTAAATAAGATTTTTTTTATTCCGGAAGATAATTATGTGAATTATGTGTAAAATTGGTTTGTTGGAGTAAAGTCTATGTACAATATTAATGACATTTGGAGTTCGTTAGAAAAGTTGATATGATAATTAGAGAGAAAATTATTCAATGCAATACGATTTTGTTGATTAAATATCAATTTAAATTACTTAAATAATTTTTATATAAGTTACTAATAAAACTGCTAAATTTCTTACATTAATCCACTAAGAATATTGACCAATGTTGTCTTTCCGGCTCCGGAAGGACCAAGGACTGCGGTCACTTCACCAGCACGAAAGCTTCCACTTACACCTTTGAGAATATTTCGTCTTCCTGGTGGCAAAATAACAATTTTAATAAAAATCATTAAAATTCATCATGAAAAGTTCATACAGAAAAGGAGAAATTATTTGTTTGAATTCCAAAATCTTATTATTACTAAAAAAATGTAGATACATTGATATGATTTTAGGAAATAGAGGTATAGTCTCATTGAAGATCTTCGACCAAGCAATATTAGATCCCTGATAGAAAATGTGGATCGAAAATATATCACAATGACTTATAAAATTTAATTATTTTGATTTCGCCGTTTGATATATTTATAAAACTAGTGGTGTATGGCATCTTTCCTTGAGGTAAGTTGATAGAACTTTCCGTACCGTAATGAAATATTGATTGAATATTAAATTTTTAAATAGATTATCATAAGTACTGTAACTTTGTTCATTATTCGTATTTTATAGACAAAATATAAGAAATCATGAATTGGACGATGACGTTTATACATGTTTGTATGATAAGTGATTAAACAAAACTCAATCAATCGGATTTAAAATAAAGGAAATATTTATAAGAATTATATATACTGAATTGCAAAGTTAAAATTATTTATTTGAAGTATATAAACGATGTTTAGAACTTCAACTGGAATTAGAATTGATATCCAAATTTTAATCTGCACGGATCAACCGATTCGAATGGTTCAAAAAACATTCGATTCCTATTAATAGGGAGATGTGCTGATTAGTTTTTGGCAAAGGCAGGGCCAGCAGTTACGGAGATAAAGAGCAAAGAGTGCAGAAAATAGAAATTGAGTTTTTGAGAGAACGGAGTATCCGATTTGAATGATCTACAAAACATTCAATTAGTAATGATTGGGAAAAATGGTTATTAGTTTTTGGCAAAGGTAGGCCCAGCCATTTCAAAGATACGAAGCTAAATGTGAAAAAAATGGCAGTTTTTGAAAGAACTAAGGGGCCGATTTAAATAATTCAAAGAACTTTCTGCTTGTTTTAGCAAAATAACGGTACGGAAAGTTCCAGCAATTTTCCTTAAGGCACGATGCCATACACCCCAATAGTTTTTTTTTTAAATCATTCATATCGGATGCTATTTCTCTCAAAAACTGCATTTTTTGCACATTTAGCTTAGTATCTCCGAAACGGCTGGATTTGCCATTACCAAAAGCTAATCAGCACATCTTCCTATCAATAAAAATCGATTCATTTTTGATTTTTTCAAATCGGTTTATCAATACGCCTGAAATAGTCTACATAAAATTGTCTCCACTCAAACACACACATCCATTTTTTTAGCTATGCCAAAATTGAAATGTTTAGAAACCTCTGAAACGTAAAAATATGTAAAAATTATCCTAGGGGAAGTTAAAAAATGTATCTATATTAAACAAAATCAATAAATTAATTATATAAAATAACTTTATTATTAAGATTCAAAATGCTTCTGTAACATTAGAGTGAGTTGTTGACATTGTTCGCACTAATAAAAATAAATTAACTCGCTGATGAATAGTTTTATTTATCAACTTACGAATGCTTCAAATATGCAAAAAAGGTTTTAGTGGTGAAATATGATAATGTATAATAATAAAAATGTAGTTGAAAGTTTGTCTATTTCCGCAATTAAAATTTAATTCGTTAACAACACAATAATATAAAATTCAACTTTTTAGTTCTATTAATTATTTTTTATTTATTTTTCTATGTTTAGCTTGATTTGTTCTTGATCTTACATCTAACTTGATAATTTTGATAAGATCTGGCCAGAGACTGGTATAGTGAGGATATTAAATTAAAAAAAAATCATTACCAAATTTTAGTGGCACTTTATTTTCATTGATAGTTTATATGTCAAACATATTGGTGATAGCAAAAATAATTATACAACGTATTGTCGCAATGATGTATATTAGATATATATTCATTTATATACCAACATATGAAATTTGAAATGAAAATGATAATTATGAAATAAATATTCTCTTAATATCATTAACAAAATTTCAATATCTTGATATTTCAAACAATCTATTACACGCGCAGGGTTTAATTATTCCAAGGTGAAAACCGAAATCAGTATAATTTATTAATTTTTCCACAAGATATTTGCATCCAAAGACAAATTGCGTACTCTTGGAAAGTGTTGCAAATATGTTAAAATGCAAAAACAACATCATTACAACATTTCGCCGTCCTCGAAGTTCACATGGCACATTCTTGATACTGGTTTGCATTTTACGATCGTTCTTCCTTCACCTTAACATTACTTAACATTGCCTTTACCATTGATTGCAATTGTTAATGAAGTAGTAAATCACCAATCATTAAAATTATAGACAAAATATAATGATAAATAAGATATAAAATAATATTTAAATTTGTGTACAAACTTTATTATACAACATTTATATGATGTGTTTTTTTATGATGTTTTTCCAACTTGAATACTAATTAATTATAATTATTGTGCAATAAAACATAAAATACAAATTTATTTATATTATTAACTAAGCTAGATAGATATACATATAATCAAAATTTTTAGTAACTATAAACACATTAATTGAAACTAGTTGGTATTGTTATTTTGCCTTGGGCAAGTTACATGAACTTCCCGATATGTTTAAACAATCGACTTAATCAATAAAAAATAATAAGTATATGATGAAAATTCATAAGTGATTAAAAGTATTCCGAGTGGATTTATTACACATAATTGAAAACGAACGAACACAGAGTATTTTCTAAAAGCAAATTTTCAAAAATCAACAATTTTTATAATTGAACCAGTTTCCGTAGGACTTTAATGGTTTAGTATGTTTATTTAGACCAAGTACTCTATCGTTATATCAAGTAAATCGTCTAATTTTAATTTTAGCATACGTCCAAAAAAAACTACTCAATTTCTCAAACTTTGATGAATTTTTAGGATTAAACTACTTATCGTAAGGCCCTAATATTTCAGTAAGTTCTAAATTGATTTCAGTAAGATTCGGTAGTATGAGCTTAAATGTGGACAGAAAGTTTGACACTTTTTTCAAATTACAAAGAAACGGATTGACAGATCGTTGCACAGAACTGACAAACGATAGTTCTCATTGAGATGATGTATCTCAATGACTTTTAAATTTTTGAAATCGGTCCAGTCGTTTTTGTGAAAACGTCGATTTACGGCAAAAAATCTATTCACATACTCGCATACATATACACACAAATACTTTTTCCAAATTTGTTCGCATTCGATTCAGAATGGTTTGAAACGTCGAGAAAACATAAAATTAACGAATAGGATTTTTTTATGAAAACATGAACTTCTTCAGGGAGTTAAAAATGCTCATATGAAAGCAAAGCATCGAAACCGAAATTTCATGTCATATTTAAACTTAGTATCCATAAGAGAAAAAAACCGCACAATCCTTATGTAGTTTCGGGTAAATACTACTTCTTATTTAGTTTACTAAATATATGATTATTAATTTTTTTTTTCTTTAAAGCTCCTGAATCTGTGTTTTTTTTTTAATTTTTTAAGGATCATTATTTTGCAAGAATATCGGGTTGCGGAAACACGACATTATGCAACGGAACCAATTTGATTCAAAAGAGTGAAAGTTCTTCATTATAAAACTTGCACCGGAGCGAACATTATTGTACTTAAATTGCAGTACTTTGTTATAATCATTCGAGGAAAATTTTTGATTATACACAAGTAAATATTATAATAATAATGCCAATTATATTATAATATAATTTCAATATTAAAACAATTAAAGATATTGTTTTTGTTTATTATTTATGTAAATTAATTACCAACCATCAAATTTATATAGTTTTGGAATATAATGTTGTCGTCCAAGGAAAACAGAACTACTGTTAAATAGTAGAAAATGCTAATACCAAAAAAATGTATCTAAGTCTGCACATATATTTTTATACACATGTATCCTAATATAGCTTACCATATCATCTCCATTATACAGAATAAATTACAATAATCTATTATTTCAATAATACAATATAATCAAGATGAAAACAATTAAATAGGTATAAAAAATCGAACAATTTATTAAAGACGTAACACGTTTGCACCTGTTATTATTAATTAATACATGATTAATCAAAAGTTGACAATTCAGCAAAAAACTAGAATGGCAATGGACAAAAGCACGTGTAAGGAAAATTGATTGCAGATCGTATTTATGAAAACATTTCCTTCTGTTTTGCTGCATCATATTAATAAATTAATTATTAATTAACATATGTATATATAAATATAGCAGGATATTAATATAGATTTTATGCATATTTTTCTGACTGAAACAAGAAAGCTTTGAGACTGGATGTGTCTTGTCCATAAAATGCATATCGAAATCACATTCTTTATGACTTCAGACATTTTTTGATTTGAATCTTAAATAATATTAGATTAGTGAATGAAAATAAAAGTGCAAAGCCATTCAAAAATATGTTCTTGTCAATCTAGCTTGAAGCTTTAGCATTGATTACATTTTTGTCTAAAAAACAAAAAATTCCTTTCTATCATCTTTCTGTCCAAGGAAAGCGTCCTTGGCATATTATTGAGATGCTCCATTTATTTCTAATCAAATATGAATCATTTGTAAGTATAAACATCGTTGCAAAAATGTAAAAACAAACTAAAACTAGAACATTGATGACTGCGATAAAGAATTGATGACATTTCAATTTAAATTAACAAATCAAACGTAAATTGCTTGTTAGAGTATATGTAATAAGATATATTAACAATAACAATAGGGGTAACATAGTGATAAAGATTTTCTATTGCCATTTCACACCACAGTGCCTTAAATGAGCTATTTGCAATTGGAAACATATTTTTGTTCTATATTTTCAAATAAAAATTGATATCACTACTGCATGGTATCAGGCTATCCAGAGCGGCGGTTCAAACTCACTCCATACAATATAATACATACATATCCATACAGACATATAATCCATTATGTATACATATAATACTTGAGTTTATATGAAGAAAGGTTTTTGAGTAAATCAAATTAAATAAAATTAAAGGGGACGTTCATTAATCATGTGAGGTTTTTAAGAGGAGGGGGGTTTTACAAAAGATCACAAAATATCACGTGGGGGAGGGAGGGGTAGAGTAAGATATCACATGAATTTGTATTTTAACAATTTTTTAAAAAAAAAATCAAACATTTTTAAAATAAATCTAAAATTTCACAGTTTTTTCACGTAACTAAAAATACTCGTGATGTTTTGTGAGGGAGGGGGAGGGGCTAATTTTGATCAGTGCTCACGTGATTAATGAACGCCTCCAAAGCTTATTCCGAAATTGAAATGAAAAAGTATGCACACGAACCGTAATTTCTAAGTGAGTTACATATTCACCATTAAATCTGTCACAATATAGTATAAATTTCATTCTAATGAATATTTGGAATAAACCACTGAATAAAAAATATGATGAGGTTTTAATTAATTTTGCTTTCTTATTTACTTGCCACACATTTGATGACTCAGCTTATCGTTAGAAAATTTTAATGTTCAAAAAAACCAAATTGGTGCGAATAAAAACATTCATTGCTACAATGTATCACATAATAAATCGGCAGAAGGCACGCAATATAATAATAAAACAGTGCTGCATTAGATTAATATTTAAATTAAAATTTTAATAAAACAAAAGGTGCAAATTATCAAAATAGTGTAAGGTAAGCTTTTATATTAAATCACATTAATTATAAAATGTCATTTTTAAGGTAATTTTTTACCTACATCAATAGATTTTGCTAATCCGATTATGAATTCCGATTACCGAATTCTCACATGTGTAAACGATACGTTCTCTGACACAAAACAAAATTCTTCTACATTACAGTAGTCTTAACCTGAATTATCCGTGTAAAAAATGTGTTAAAAAAATACTAGCCGAGATTAGAATCTTTATGGAGGTGAGATATTTATGATTGTAAACTTTCTCGCACTTTGCGACCTATTGTTGAGAGTACACTGACCCATTTCTTTCGTGTCAATTGCTCATCTCCGCTATGATGTCGTAGAAAATAATAGATCTAGATGATTTTATACGAATATGAAACTAGTGGTGCATGGCATCGTGCCTTAAGGTAAATTGCCGGAACTTCCCGTACCAAAATTTAATTTTTTCGAAAAACCTTTGAAATTGATTGAAAACTTTGCAAAAAAATGATTTTTTGGAGAATTTTTAAAATTAAAAAAATGACTTTTTTGAAAAATTGGGATTTTTTGAAAAATGAGATTTTTTTTATATTTCGATTTTTTTTTATATTCGAAACGAAAACAAATGAAAACAAAATTCCTTAAGAATTTATTTATTTTTTCTATTTTTGATTTTTTCTAGTAACCTCACTATAAAAAGTTGCATCACTAGATGTATTTCTTGCATTTTTTTAATTTATTTATTTGAACAACAATCATAACTAGTGTTCAAAAATCTATTTTACTGGCATGCATCTTAACTTAATTCTATTGTTCTAAAGAGAGCAACTTAATGGTCGACCACTCTTATTTTTCTGTATAATTTGAGACATATTTCTCTAATAGTTTAGGCGTTTATAAAAATATTTATATTATTTACAATGTTAATTTTCTTAAAAAAAATTTCATACTTTTCTTCATACAGAATAATAGATCAAGAAAGAGAGAATAATAGATCAAGAAAGAATATATGCCAAAAAATAAAATAGACTATTTCTCTCTTCAATTTATAGCCATTCTTGATGAATATAGTTCTAAAAACGTTAAACTTAAAAATTTTATGTTTCAATAGTTCAATTTAATTTTTTTATTTAATTAATTAATTAATATATATATATATATATATATATATATATATGTGTGTATATATAAACAATATTTAGAGCTATTATTTATACAATTTATACTTTTATTTTATGCTTGCCAATCAGAAACTCATATTTTTTATTAGCTTTCTTAGAATAAAATTACAACTCATTTATCATAGAATTACAATGCATTATTCTGCATGTATTATATCATAAAAAATATGAGAAATAATCTTTTTTTATATACTGATTTTTTTATTTACTTTCTTTATACTCCTGTTGTATTTACATCTTTTGATTTGATTACACATTTAGACCTACTTCACATTTCAATCTCAAAATTAGTTAGTTTTTTTTCGAAAAGACAGGTTGTAATTTATAGAATAAAAAAAATAAAAAAATATTGCATATTTTTTAAAAGTACCTTTATCGTTTTTACAGATACTTCGATTCAATACTATTGGCATGGTTTTATAAAGCTTTTTCTGTTTGTGAACTATTTTTGTTCGAAACTCGATGTCAGCAAATAAATAAGCAATCAAACAATAACTCAGAGGTCGACATCAAATATTCATAAGTTCAAAACAATTATAAGAATTTGATACTATCATTATTCATTGAATATTTTATAATCATTATCTCAATCATCACATTATGTGAAATTAGCAAATTTGCCCCAGATGTCATCAATTCTAAGATAGAGTCTGATGTATTTCAATGTTATGACAATGACACAAATTTTATGCAAAATGATAAAAAATAATATTTTGTTATTAGAAATCATGAACAACGAAGCAGATAATGCAAAATCAATAGATCAATAGATTTGGTAGAATTGTTCTGCAAATAGAATTTTTTCTAATTGTACATAATTAGCATATTTTCAAAAAATCGTATGTAAACATATTTGTCGTTGTTATGTGAAGATTTTGTGGAATCAACAGTTGAATTAGGTAGAAAATCCTATCGAAAATCGTTTAATAATTCAAGTTTCAAGATCTCTTGACCAATTTACCAATTACCTTTAACAATTAACTCAGATTTTTATTATTAAATTCAAATAAATTATATTTTGTTAAAAATTTCAATGATTATATTAATATCAATTAAATAGTATGTCCAATCACTCGTTTTGTATTATTGTAAATAAAGTGATTGATGTTTACGAAATATCTTTTATTTTTGATTCAATAATAATTATGTAAACACATCTAATTTAATCGAAATTATGAGTAAAAAAAAATATTTTTACGAAATTTATCAAATAAATTTTGTAAGTTGAAAAAGTCAAAGAACGAAAGTGCAAGCAGATATGCATTTGATGCAATGAAAGAGTATTATTAAATACCAAAAAAATATATAATTTATATATTTTTGTCTAAATGTTATAAACTGGTTAAGTTTTGTTTAAGGAATATTACTTCATTAGCCTTTTGTAATTTTTTTTAAAATCCTAAAGAATAATTAAAGTCATTTTATCAATCACGATTCAACCACTTTGTTTTCGAATAATAGGTGAAAAATGTATAAATTTTTGAAAAATTAATGAATTAAGTATAAACTTGAATTATATCTGATATTTAAATTAATTAATTTTTGCAAAATCATTACTTATTTGCAATGTTATAGGTTTTGTTATTGACACAAATGTTATGAACTAGAAGATTTTAATTTTTTAATAAATTATTTTGATCGTATTATTTTTCTTAAATTGAAACAAAAATTCATGTATATTGTATTGACAAAAAATTACTTTGTCAATTATTTTTTACATTTTTCTAATCCCTGCAATTTAAATTCAAGTAAATTTCCACTAATAAATATAATAGAATAGAAGTTGATAATATTAACGCTTGTTTATATATTATTATTAATTATTCAGTTCATATACTTTTTGCTATTTTTAATTGAAGGACTTCCACTATGCAATTATCCTTTTCAAGACCACATAGTTAATCACAGATGACTGAATGTTTATAAAGTCGATAGATTTATGAACACATAAGAAAAATATTGAAACTAGTGATTAATGGCATCGTGCCTTAAAGCAAATTGTTGGAACTTCCCGTATCATATTGAAATAATCGAAAAATATTAAATGTTTTCAAATAGATTATTATAAATACTGTACCTTATATATGTTTACGGCAAAGAAAATACACAAAATTTAATCAATCAAATTTAAAATCAAGGGCATTATCTAATATTTGTAGGATCATATAAACGGAATTGCAAAATTAAAATTATTTATTTGAAGTATATAAGTGAGCTTTAGCTATAGTAAAAATTAAAATTGGATTTATTTTCGATACTCAAAAAATTTTTTTTTCGAAAAAAAATAAAAAAAATCCCAAAAGCAATCGTTTCGTCAACACAAACAAAAATTTGTATAATTCAAATCGGATGCTTAGTTCTCTCAAAAACTGCCACTTTTTGCACAATTAGCTCGGTATCTCCAAAACGGCTCGACATGCCTTTGCCAAAAACTAATCAGCACATATCTCTATTTTGTTTGTATTGTTTTTTGAATCATTTAAATCGGTCAAAAAATTGTATCCATACATACATACACACATTCATTTTTTCTGAGGTATGCCAAAATGTTCAGAAACCTTCAAAACGTGAAGAAATTTTAAAATTTTCAATTTCGATTTTTGAACGATTACAATTACTTACCCTACTGAAAGTCAATAATTAACTATTATTGATGTAATGATATGATGATATAATTAACTAGTTGATGTTGTCAATCATAAAAAACTCTGAATTTTATAGAAAAATATTTTTAGCATAAACCTAATATGATTAGAATTTTCTTAAAAATCAACATAACGATAAAAATTATCTGTTATCAGTCTCAAACTTAAAATAATCTTTAATCTGAGAAAATCAAAACAATTAAGGCGTTTTTTCACTAAACCACGTGTCTAATTATCCAAATATTGATTAGATAAAATCTCACCTTGTTTCCTATCACTAACAGAGTACGTTAAATTTTCAAAATCCATATCCACAGTGTGTCGTCCTGTCAATCTCATTAAAGTACTCAAATCATTATCCTGAACACTCTCAGTCTTCATGTCAATGATACTCATTTTGAAGTCACTTTTATATTCACTCACTTAAAATTTGTAAATTTTTTAAAAATCCCAAAAAAGCACGTTTTATTAATTTTTTTTAAACCGCAACGTATCGTATTTTCATGGCGTCATTAGATAATTGTCGTTTATCTATGGTAGATAATAATTATCTATTTAAGATAAAGTTTTCCCGGTTGTGTCACATGGGATAGTTTTGTGTTTGGATGCCAAAAGATCACTGACTGAAAACATAAATGTTTGGGCGACTTGAGTAGTAATATACTACAATGTGCGACCAGTTGGATTCGAACGAACGCTTCCACGGATTGTACTCCAAAAACAGACTTTGCCAACCTTTTTTCGAATTAATATAAACAGGTATAATCAAATAAGAATTTTTTTTTTAAACTGAATTTTCTTATTTATTTAAGTAATCAGTACATAATGATAACACTGCAACATGCCTCGTGTCTTTTTGTAATCAGTTATAAGTATTTTATGATATATATATATATATATATATATATATATACAAAAAGTTCAACGCTATTTTCAAATTCAAAGAAACGACTCGGCAGATCGTCGCACAAAACTGACAAACGATAGTCCTCATTGAGATACATCAAATGGATGAAATCGGTTCAGACGTTTTTGAGCAAACGTCGATGAAAGGCCTAATTTTGACAAATGCTAAAAAAAACGATACCAATGCAAACTTTCAAGAATTTTCAAAATTAAACGACTAGTCGTAGGGCTGTAATATTTTAGTATGATCTATTTTAGTAAGACTATAGTATCTATTGTCAAAAAAAAACATAAATTTTTTTAACGGCCCGACCGATCTTTACCAAAGACTAATCAGGTCGATTCCCAACCAATATCTTTTGATCTGAATCTTTAATTTTTCAAACAGAATTGCGGGCTAAAACGTGGACAAAACATTTTTCACTTTTCTGCTATTTATAAAGAAACGGCTGTGCTGATCGTCGTGCTAAACTGATTAGCTCTAGTCCTCATCGAGATACATCGAATGGCTTCTAAATTTTTTAAATCGGTCCAGTCGTTTTTGAGAAAGTGTCGATTTACGGCAAAAAATGTGTTCACGTACACGCACACACACATACTTTTTCCAAATTTGGTCTCATTCGATGAAAACTTAATAAAATATATAATAAACTTCTTCGGGAAGTTAATTAAACGATTTTAGAGAAGAAAAATGTCTTTTTTGTCGAACGTTTCGGGTCCTGATTTGACCCATCTTCAGCGCTACATTTTAAAATCTGCTATATACAAATTATTTCTCTAAATCATCTAACTATATTTTATAAAATTCTGAATGAAATATAAGCAAATAAACATCTTGGAAAGTTATTTCATAATATATCCAACTATTGCAATTAAGCCAAATCGGCATGACGATGCATAATTTTTCATCAATAAACTAACATTGTGCGAATTCTAAACTTTAAGAACTCGAAGTTCTTAGTATTATAATTTTGCACAATTGACATTGTGAACAAATTCTCGTTCAGAAATGTAATATAATGGATTTATTGTGTGAGAGAAATTAGAAATTTTAATTCTGTATTCAATCTTGTTTTTTATGATTATATTTTATTGTTATCTGACTCTTACAATCGTAGAGTAAATATGGCACGTATATGATTACTAGTTAATAAGGACACAATTTAGAAAAAAAGTAGTCGTAAATCGAGTTCGTTTGTTCAATGGTTGTTTCAAGTTTTTTACCTATTTTTGAACATATTTTACAAAATATATTCAAATTTGGATCGAAAATGTTTTTACATTTTTAAAGTTTTTAAACAATAACGCAAAAATGATACCCCTAAATTCTATTTTTTGTTTGTTTCAAACTTTATTTAATTTTATTCTTCTTCCATTCTAATTTGTATCCTTCGCATATTAGTCATTTCTACATTGAGATTTTCATTTTGCTATTTATATTAAAAATACTACTATAGTATCAAGCACACTTAAAGAATTATTATAATAATAATGTTATTATATTGTTTAGTGCATCTGCAAAATGTATATTTCAAATTGAGATAAATAAGTTTTGCTAAAATCGGTCGTCTACGATAAACCCAGTTACCTCTTCAATTTTAAATAGGTCGATTATTAGTGATAATGAAAACGTTAAACATTTCAATAAACATTCTAAAATCTTTTACACTTTGTACACACTCATAACTTTAGTAAAAGGTAATTTTATTGACTTACTAAATTGATTCGATATATTGAATAGAATTCAATCTGAATAGTATTGTATTATTAAAATAAATATTGATAAGCAATATAATATTTGTAGTATTAGGGTAAGTTATAGTAATCAAAAAATTGAAAATGAAATTTTTGCATATCTTTGGGTTTTAAAGGTTTTTGAACGTTTGATGTGTGTATGTTTGAGTGTGTGTGTGTACGTATGAATGTTTGGATACAAATTTTTGCCTACGGTTTCGAGAGCTTGGAGCAACCGATTTGAATTATTTAAAAAGAATTATATTCTTATTGATGAGGAGATATGCTGATTTGTTTTTTGCAAAGGCAGGTCCAGCCGTTTTGAAGATACGAGACAAGAAGTGCAAAAATGGCAATTCAGTTTTTAAAAGAACGGAGCATCCGATTTGAATGATTCAAAAAACATTTTATTTGTTTCAATCGATGAGATTTTTGGGAAATCAGTCATAAGTCCAACGGTTTCAGAGATCAAAGCATTATTGTAAAAATCTTGTTTATCTCTTTAGTGGGTATCATATCAACATATATGCAGTGCAATCGCATTGAAAAATTTCCAAAATTTTCAAAAAATTTCAAAGATTCGCCAAATTTGCACCAAGCACCACTGTTTTGTTTTTCATCTTTCAAATAAAATAATAATAGTGATTTTTTACCAATATAAAAGGTTTCCATGGCCTGAAGTTAAGGGACTAAAAGTGCACGAACAGCTCTCATCAGATTGCATTTTGCAAAACGAGTCCAGAAGAAAACGACAAAATAAAAAGTTTAATCAAATAACTGTGCATCTTGCATTTCATAAGAACTAAGAAGCAGACATTGATAAATTTATATTACTAAGCACTAGAACGATAAATAAAATCAGATTCATAAGATCACAAAACTGCTTTCACTCAAATATTCAAAAATAACTAGTGGTGTATGGCATCGTGCTTTAAGGTAAATTGTTGCACCAGAATTAAATATTCGACGAAAAAAATCAGTAATCAATAAATATTGATCAATGATTGATGACAATTGTTAATATTTTCAAATAGATAATTATATTCACTATATATATATTTTATCATTCAAAAAACTTACAGTGACGATCTTGTCTTTCAAAACACTTGAGAAAGTTTACATTAGCAAGAGGTGCTGAATAAATCCCTCTGAAGATATATTTCTTACGATTAGAATAACGCATTTGAAATACGTATATACATTTGCAAACTGAATTGTAAATTCAAAATTCATATTTGAAGTATAAATTTTTGTATATTTTAGAAAAGTAAACTTTAAAAATTAACAATTTTGGTACGGAACCCAACAAAATAAGTACTCATTTTTAATTTTTTTTATCAAATATCTGATAATTTTATGTGTATATGTCATCTGATAATTTGATGTGTTTTTTACTTTTTTCTCTGAATCTACGAAACCGCTAACCAAAAATTTCACTAATTCTTCATTTTGTCAATACTAGTAACATGTTTTCTGAATCATTCAAATCGGGTACTCGTTCTCTCAAAACTTGAATTACCGTTTTTGGCACTTTTTGCCCCGTATCTTCGGAACGGGTGGACCTGTCTCAACTAAAAACTATGTTTTTTCATCAGTAGGAATCGAATGTTTTTTGAATCATTCAAATCGGTTGATTCGTGCAACCGAAATCGTGGACAAAAAATTGTATCCAAACATTCACACACACACACATGTACATCCATTTTTTCTAAGGTATGCCAAAATATTCATAAACCTTCAAAACGTAAAGATATACAAAAATTCTCATTTTTTATTTTTTGCCGATTACTATAACTTACCCTACGGGAAGTTAAAAATTCTAGATCATTGTTTACAATGATAATAGATATAGGTTTTGAAAAAAATTCTAGTAAAAAAAATTATCAGAATGTAATTTTTAAACCATCTTAATATCTTTCTTATTTTAAAATCTTCCAATTTTAGCACGGGTCCAATGTTAAATCTTGAAATTAAAAATCATTGATGAACAGGAAGACTTTAGAGATTGAATTGAATGAGTTAGAGGTCTACTGCAGACCTTTAAACTTTAGAAATGCTAAATTATTCATTATTTAGCGTGTTCTATATAAATCTTTCTTACAAATCGCAGTAGATTTTTCATTAAAAATTGAATCATTTTGAGGTACCTAATTTTGGTATGTATATATATTTTTATAGATTATTAAGATCATTTCGTATTATTCCCACAATGTTTATTATTATTTCCGTTAATTATCATTAGAGGAATATTATTCAATGAGTTCAATAATTGCATAATCAGCGGAATATTTTGGAAATTCGTTATTAACGAATCGATATTTCATGATGTACATATTATTATGAATCGAAACCAGTTTTCGTTACAAATCGAGACAACGGTTACATATGATAATGGAATATGATATATGGATTATAATGATATGGAATATGCTAATTGAGGCTGTTGTGGTTTATATATTACTATTATCCAATTATTCATACAAAATTTGAATATATATACAACATTTGTGAATGCTCACAAGAGTGGTGTTTTAATACATATTTCATGGGACATTGAATTTCCAATCTAAATTAGCATAAATTTAAACGAATAAAAATTATTAATGAATTAAGAATATAGTGATTGATATAATAAACAGCATCATAATAATGTAGCAAAATACCTATAATATAGTAAAGAACAAGGTAAGATATGAAAACAAGTTTACTTCCTGTATCT